TGTCAGGGCTCTGTGTGGGCACCTTAGCTCTGCCCCTAACTTCCTAGTGTGCCCCAGGATGGCAAGGCCAGTGCAAATAACCCCGGGGAGCTCGCATAGGCACCTTGTGTTGGGCGGGCATCAGACAAGTGTTTCACAACGCCACAGCCTCACAGCAGCCTGGCTCAAGGGTGCTGTCATTAGACTTACTTCATAGATAGCTAAAGCAACCGAAGAATAGAGAGGTGAAGTAACTTGCTCTAGGAACAAAGCTGTGCAGACACCAGGACAGACACCTGTACCGACTCAGATTCACCTTGGCCTTTCTTCGGTGCATCCGGCTTTTGTGGAGGCCTGTCTAGATGTTGTCACCTGTCATTTTCAGAACAGAGCCCTGGGTTTGAATCTGGACTCTGTACTCATGAACCAGGAAACAGGAGTGTTACGATGTGCGAATTGTGCAGGTCACACTGCAGGCGAAGAGAAGAGATTCTGGGGCAGGGGCTGGGCAAGGCAGCCGCAAGCATCACGAGCGGGTGCCCTGGGACCCTACTATGAGGAACAGTGTCTTCATCACTTTGGCCAACTGCTCTGACACCGAGGGGCAGCAGCCTATGAGCCGAGGGGCCAAATGCAGCCCACTTTTAGATGGAGCAGAGCTATAGGTAGTTGGAACTTTTTTTTTTCCTACATGGTTAAAACAAAAGCTAGAAATGAAGAGTTCATGGCATGTGAAGATGACATAAACTTCAATTCCAGTGCCCACAAGGCTTTACTGGAGCACAGCCTTGCCCGTTCGTTTCCCTATTGTCCTTGGCTGTTCTTACACAATAATGGCTATGCTGCATCCTTCCGACAGAGACCATATGGCCTGAGAAGCCTCAGATTTACCATGTGGCCTTTATAGATGGGCTGTAGGCAAGTCCACACTGCTACGGGATTCAGGCATCCCCCTCTGCCTTCTGTGCAGCCCAAGACCATAACTGGCAGCCCAGTTGTGGATGACAGGCTCTGAGCTGGCAGTTCTCACCGGCACTCAACTGCCCTCCCTCCCCCCACCAATTGCTTCTGCCCTTTGGTTTTGTGCAATCATTTTTCCTCTCTGAACAGTCTGTTTCTTCCTCCCTGTAGCACCACCCTTTCCCCATCCCCACTGCCCCTGCTGCTCCTCACCCTAGAGGACAGATCAGGTAGCTCCTCTTTGTTACCATGGGGAATGGGTGGGGACTTCAAACAGGTGGAAGCAGAACTGGGCTAGAACCAACTCTCCTGCCTCCTACCTGTGTCCACAGTAGGGTGTGGATGCCCACGATGCTTTCTAGCCATCTTCCCCAACAGGGCTCCTCATTTCTGTCTGTGGCTTCCTGGCTCACTTGTGGGCCCCCAAGGATTCTCTCTCTGACCCTGTCACCTTTTCCCTGTACTCCAGGGGCCCAGACTCAGGCTCTGAGCTCCTTTTTTCTACCACCTGGCCCCCTGGGGGCTGGTCCTGGGCACTGTCCCCCTTCCGTCTCTGCTGTCTGCAGCTTGCTTTCATCAACCAGCTGCAATTTGGATTCTACGTGCTAGAGTGAGCTGACAGAAATAGAAAACAGAACTATGAGGTTGGCCTCTGATTTCTGTCTATAAAACAGAGCCAGGGAAGACCTCGGGGAAGGGATTTAAGTGTCCAGGGCTGAGTCAATACCCTCTAGTATTAAGATCCTGGATTCTGTGGGTCACCCACCAGCTGCCGCTTTCCTAGGACTGGATACAGGTGGATGATCTGGAAGTTGTGCCAACACATGGGCCTGTCCTAAACTCTGGAGCTCAGTAACATAAATCTTGGAAGGTCTGAGGGGTGACGGGCAGGGCAGCGAGGAACAAGAGGATCCTTAGAGAGTGTCAGACCCTGAGCAGCAGAGGGACCCTGGGAAATGCTCCTTTTCTCACACTCACTCCTGGGAATATGGAAGATATAGCAGACCTCACAGAGCCACCAGGAAGATGAACATGTAAGTACTAGCGCAATGTTTTCATACACCTATTCACAAAGTGTTACCTTCCTTTCTTCCCTCCTTCTAGGTGCCAGCTGCTGAAGGCCAGATAGGTAAGGGTGGTTCTTTTGCTCTCTAAGTCCAGTGTAGCAAAGAGGAGACACTATGCAAGTCCAGGGGTGGAAGGAGACAGTGTTGTGGTAGGTGTTAACGGCAGATGATGGCAGCAAGAGCAGGTACTCTCTGGGGACCAGTGGATTCATGCTCTCAACCGTTCCCTGTGAGGGAGGCCCTCACTGGATGTGAGAGAGCAAAAAACCAGTGGTTGGGACTGAAGAGGTCTGGGGAGGTCTCAGGGAGGAGGTAATGGGACGAACAAGGTCTTCACAGGGACCCAGAAACAGGCACCAAGGCAGGGAAGCCAGCAGGCATCAGACAGATGAGAAGTTTGTGAGGCCAGTGCTCTCCTTTCAACAAGGGCCTGTAGCAAAGAGAGGCCTGGTTTACAGGAACACCAGTGGTTAAAATTCAGACATCAGGGGAGGGTCACTTGAGCCCAGGAGTTGGAGACACTATCTCAGAAACAAAATAATTACAATACTTCAGCTTCAACATCTAAAAGACATGGATTTATATGAGTGTGTGTGTGTGTGTGTGTGTGTGTTGGTATTAAGGTTTAACTCAAGGCCTGAGACTGTCCCTTAGCTTTTTTACCCAAGGTTAGTGCTCTACCAGTTGAGCCACAGCTCTTTGGTGGTTAACTGGAGCTAAGAGGCTGGCTGATTTCAAACTGTGATCTTCAGATCTTCTCCCCCTGGGTAGCTAGGATTATAGACATGAACCACTAGCCTCTGGCTTTTTTCTTTTCTTTTTTGATTGGTCATGGGGCCTGAACTCTGGGCCTGGGTGCCGTCCTTCAGCTCTTCAGCTCAAGGCTAGTGCTCTACCACTTAAGCCACAGCACCACTTCTGGATTTTTCTGCTTATGTGCTGAGGAATCGAATCCAGGGCCTCATGCATGCAAGGCAAGCACTCTACCACTGAGCCACCTTTCCAGCCCCCTGGCTTTTTTTCTTTTTGACAGAGTCTCCCTATATTGCTCAAGCTGGCTTTGGAACTCATAATCTCCTTGTCTCAGCTCTTATAAAGCTGGGATTACAGGTATACCTATCACAATTAGCTCTTTCTGAGCCTCTTCAGCTTTGGCTCAAGTTTTAGAGACTCTGTGTATTTCATTTCAGCTTCTCTATCAATTCCTTGGGGTCTTGGGTGAGTCAGTCTTCACATTCCTCATTTTAGGCCTCATTCTTCTCTTGAATAGGGTCCAAAAAGAGATTTTTCAATATGAGGTCTGTCAGCTAGCTCCACAGCATCCCAGAGAACTTGTTAGAAATGCAAAATCTAGGCACCTCTCCCAGTCCCATCAGTCCAAAACTCTGAGGCCAGACAGAGGCAGCCTCTAGTTCCTTAACAAGCCCTTCTGGGGATGCTGATTGGAACCATGGGGTTAGCAAAGTGAGAACCCTTCAGCAGTAACAATTGTGCTCTAAGGTATTGGGCGGTAGCAGCATTCTTTTTAGCCAAAAATATTTCTTGCCTAAGAAAGGTAATCTTTCAGGTAAGAAGAGACGCTGAGTTTTCTATAACCAGAACCCAGTGAACCTCAGAAATATGTGGTTGGCTTTGGAAGCTAGATTTATTTACTTCTTTTTAAATAGGAAGTCTCAAATGGAGAGGGGAGAAGAAAAGAGAGGAGAAGGGAAAGGAAGGAGAGGAGAAGGGAGGGAGAGGAAAGGAGAACTGCCTTCTCTTTTCAGCTCCAAAACAATGACTCACTGTGGGGTGCGCACCTGTGCTTCAGGGAGCGTCCTGCTGTCTATGTCCTGGACGGCCAGAACTCAAGTCCAGCCACAGAGAGCTGTGGTGGTGGCTGTAACAGAGCTGCACGGTACACTATAGGGAGGTTTGGTTTCCAAGGCATAAGAAGGGTATGTTTTTATCTAAAAGATGTAGCGTTCGCCATGTGGACTTAGGGCTCAGTCATCAGAAAGATGCAGAGAGAATTCCACAGTACTGCGTGGACAGGACCACACCCAGATGGCCCCTGGGTGCCTGGGGTCGCACTTGGTATCTCTGTGCCAATAACAAGCCTTACGCCAGGTGATGGTGGTTCACACCTGTAATCCTAGCTGAGATGTAAGGATCGCAGTTCGAAGCTAGCCTGGGTGGAAAAGTCCCGGAGACTCTTATCTCCAATGAACTAGCGAACAGCCGGAAGTGGGGATGTGGCTCAAGTGGTAGAGCGCCAGCCTTGAGTAAGCAAGCAGCGGGGACGCCACGCTCACGAGGGGTCACTGTCCCCTAACAACAAGCAAGAGGGGGAGAGGGACGGCACGGGCCCGGGAGACCTGGGCGCCACGGGTCCCGGCGGGGGCTGGGGCGAGTGAGGAGGGCCAGCCCCCCGAGGGCTGGTCGGTGACGAGCCCGGGAAGGCAAGGCCCGCTTCCCGGCACTGCGGCCCCGGCACCAGCCGCCCCGGCGCCAAGCCCCGTCTCCTCCGTCTCTCCGGGAAGGGGCTCCCGCCTTTCTCACGTAGCTCTGTCCCCAGAGCAAGGCGGTCGGTGGAGGAAGCAGCCTGCACGAGCCGGGCGGCGGGGACCACAGGGAGCGCGCGCGAGGGGCCGGGCGCGGCCCAACGCCTGCTCACCCTCCGCTCAGTCCCTTTAACCCCAAAACTTTCTCCCTCCACTTGGGACCCCAGCACGTTCACATTGGCAGAGCTGCGGTCACTCGGACCCGCCCCCTCTCTTTAACTATTGGTGACCACCAGCATCCATCCCCAGGACAGGCCTCGTAATGGTCCGCGCTTTTGTCAATCAAGCTTGGGCGGGAGAGTGGGCGGGGCCAAGCGGAGGAGCGACACGCTAGCCTCCCCGCCCTCCCTGCTTTTCCGAGTCCCAGCGGGTGACCTGGAGATGCCTCAGGCGGGGGCCGAAACTGGCGCGTAGCTCTGCCGCGGAGCCGTGCGGGGCTCCAGGGACTCACCGATGCGTTGTCCCACTGGAGAGCTGAATGGGTTCCCCAGGAGAAAGTCCATCGTCGCTGCTGCCACTACCACCAACCCCAGGAATCAGCTGACAGCAACCGCCAGCGCCGCCGATCCGTCACGTGACTCGCCGGACGGCCCGCGGGGAGGTGCTGGAGGGGGCGGGGCCGGAGTTGCGGTGCGCAGCCACAGGTCCCGCCCCAAGACGAGGAGGGCGCGGCCAGCGGAGGGCGAGGGCCCAGCCGCAGCCCCTCGGCGCCGGCTGACGTCACTCCCAGCAGAGGGGCGGGGCCAGAGAGGCCAGGTCTCTAAGCCACGCCCCATCTGGCCACGCCCTCACGCGTTCCGGAGTGACTGTATCACCTAGATTTCAAGGTCCATGCAGCCAGCTGGAAACGGGGTCTCAGGAGCTCGGGCGGGTGTCACAGTATCTTAGTCTCCAGTCCTTTAACTGTCGGGGATGACCCTAAGAGGGTGACAGCTACTCGGTCCTGAAGAAACTCCTGTTTCTCTTCGGGTCTCCTCGCACCAGGATGAGACCTCTCTTTGGCGGCCCAGATCGCCAGGAGTGAAGGTCTGTGTTTGTCCCCTGAGATCAAGGGCAGACTGACTGACCTGCGGCCGGGCCAGCCAACACCCGAAGCCAGCGCGCAATGGGGCCTTTACCTGGCCCTGCTGTGGTCCAAACAGCGAGCTTTCATTTCTTCTATATACTGAAATTAGATCAACCACATTTTTTTTTAAATGCCTACTGCCTACTGCTTACCTGTGAATTTGGAGATTACATTTATAACTTGTGAACTTTGGGGGGCACATCCAGACTATAGGGGGATGAGTCTTCGAGGTAGCAGACCTTTACAACCCAAGGTCTTAGAAAAGCTGAGCTTAGGGGCTGGGAAGGTGGCTCAGGGATAGAGTACTGGCCTTGCATGCATGAGGCCTCAGCACCACATAAGCAGAAAAAGCCGGAAGTGGCGCTGTGGCTCAAGTGGTAGAGCTCTCACCTTGAGCTGAAGAGCTGAGGGACAGCACCCAGGGGCAGAGTTCAGGCCCCACGACCAACAACAACACAAAAAAGCTGGGCTTAGATATAAAAGAAAGTTGTTCCATGTGAGCAACGAAAAGAAACCAGCAAGGAAAAAACATTGTTCTATCAAGTCATTTAGTTTGGTCAAGTCATTTAGTTTGGGGGTTTTTGTTGTTGTTTATATTGGTCCTAAGGCTTGAATTCAGGGCCCCAGTGTTATGCTCAAGGCTAGCTGTCACATTTTACTTGTTTTTTTTTTTTTTTTTTGGTCGGTCGTGGGGCTTGAACTCTGGGTCTGGGCACTGTCCCTCAGCTCTTCAGCTCAAGGCAAGCGCTCTACCACTTGAGCTACAGCGCCACTTCCACTGTCACATTTTTTTAACCACATTGTTTTTTAATGGTCACTGGCTTCTTTGAGAATGTGCAAAAAACTGTGAACCTTTCAGAAAGAAAGAAAGAGAGAGAGAGAGAGAGAAGGAAGGAAGGAAGGAAAGAAAGAAAAAAGGAAAGAAAGAAAAGAAAGAGAAAGAAAGGCCAGTGTACAATTTTCTTTATATCCTCAGGGACTTTCTTGGATCTCAACTACAGCATTGGACATAGTTCTCAACCATCTTTCCCATATTTGTGATTCTACTATCTTCAACCATCCTGTGTAGTCAGATGACACCCACACACTAGATACTTGATCACTTGGTCACGGCTCTTCTGAAAAAAGCACACGGATAAATCCAATAACCAGTGCATTGCTAGTATTCCCACTGCAGAGTGCTTTAGGAATTATTGATCATGATTTCTATGAATTTTAAATCTGAAAGGCTATGTTGGCTTTGCCCAAATTGTGGATGATGGAAACCTTGGAAGCAAATGCCTTGTGGAATTCATTTGTTTACTTCTTTGAGTGGCCATAAGGCCAACATACTTACTGTACACTATATAAACTGCTTTGAAGTGTTTGGAGAATGGTATGAGACCTGTTACAAATGCTTTTCCCCTCACTGCTGCTTCAGATGCTTAGTGAGTGCCGGGATACTGTGTCTACTTTCTCGTGATGATCTAACACAATTTAAACCAGTCTATCAGAAACTATTTGAAGATGACATTCATATTAAGTAGTTTCTGAATCTTCATTTAAACATACTGCTTGATGGTATAGTGGCTCTGTGGCTCAAGTGGTAGAACGCTAGCCTTGAGCTGAAGAGCTGAGGGACAGCACTCAGGCCCAGAGTTCAGGCCCCATGACTGGACCCCCCCCCCCCCCCCCCCCGCAAAAAAAAAAAAAAAAAAAAGAATGACAAGTACTATTGTTTCCTAATTTAAGCACTTTTAGACAAAAAAAAAAAAAAAAATCAGGATATGCTGCAGCCACAATTTAAAGACAATAGCATAAGCAAAGTGGAGCCAGCCAGGTTCTGTTGGCTCATGCCTGTAATCTTAGCTACTCAGGAGGCTGAGATCTGAGGATCGTGGTTCAGAGGCAGCCTGGGCAGGAAAGACTGTGAGACTCTTATCTCCAATTAACCAACAAAAAATTGGAAGTGGGGCTGTGGCTCAAAGTGGTAGAGCACTAGCACTGAGCAAAAGAGCTCAGGGACATTGCCCAGGTCCTGAGTTCAAGCCCTATGACCTGGCGGGGAAAAAATTATGGTAGGGTAGTGTCTGAAAAACAGATAGGTTTCATAATCTCATACCAACTATTATTAGGTAAAAGACACCGAGACTGGACTACAAATATTAAAAATGTGATCTTTAATAATGTAAGTACAAAATTTTGCTTCTTTATACAACTGTAATGGGATTTGGACCAAACCACTAGGATTTATTTAAAAAACAAAATAAAACAATGATATAAAACTGCAAGAAGGCCAGAATCCAAAGTTTTTCCTCTAATAGTACCAAATACCACAAGGTACAGATTATTATACAAATGTGTACAAATCTTAAATACAAATACAACAGGGCTGGATTTCAAAGGAAAACAGTGAAAAGGCAAGTCCTGACCAGGACATTAGGAACACATACAACTGACAATAACTGTACTACCCACATCTTCCTGGCCCCTGAATACCCTGTTGTCTATCAGGAAGCTCCCCTGGGTACCGAGGTGGCATGGTGTAAGGTCCTGACACATGAATGCAAGCTGCGATGTCTGCCTTCTTGATTTTAGTTCCCCTGGGCTCCTTTCCTTCTGTGTTTGTTGATTAAACTACTCTGGACTGAGAAAGAGGCAGGGCAGCCAGCGTAGCTTTGGGAAGCTGCGTGCCAGGACTGGCGGGGAGGCGGGAAGGAACTGAGTGGGATGCAGGCTGGCTGCACCATCCCCAGACTCCCTGCGATGCCATCTGTGCCATCGAGGCCAGGCCAGGGAAGAGCATGCTTACTTCAGAGCTTAGTTTGGGCAGGGTCTCACATCAAGCTTAAAAACCACCCCAGTGCTCCTTTCCTACTGGGAGGAGGTGTGGTTCTTTGGAACTGAGGGCAGGCGATTTCATTTTTAACATTATTGTTTGGTTGGTTTGTTGGTACTGGGGTTTGAACTCAGGGCTTCGTACTTGCTAGACAGGTGCTCTACCACAGAGCCTTACTGCCAGCCCTCACTTAACATTATTGAAGGCCATGAAGTTCTCTATAGAGTTAGAATCCTAACATAATGACTCCTTTTTGAGGTATGCTTTGAAATGTAGATGATTTGGGATTTTCAGAACAGACCAGAGGAAGGGAGGGAGAAATGACAGGTCTGTATGTTCCACATGCTGCTGCTGGTGGAGAATTCTGTAGTTAAATTATCTATACAGAAATTTACAGGATAAATTAAAATCTAAGAAACTTCAGAGAGTTAAATATACATAATTAAAACACACATTCACACACATATATAAATAGACCTACATGAGAATTGAGTACTTTTTTTTTTTTTGCCATTCACTTCCGTGTGGAATGTGGAATGTTCCTATCTGCCCACCAGGGGAACCGGCAAGACGAACCCAAGAACCACCCTGGGCCCGGCTGCCCTTCCACCACCACCTAGCAGCTAAGCAGCAGAGTCTGGGGATTTGGTGGCCAACCTAATGCTGCCAATGAAAGATAGCAGCTCTTGGCTTTGCAGACCCAATATTCTAGCAGATTCACCTGGTGACACTGACAGCTTTGTTCACTTCAAGGTTTTTTCTTTTTGCTGCCAGCAATCTCATAGCAACTTGGCCTTTACTGAGGCTGGCAAGGGTACCAATGCTTACAACAACTGAGACCTGGAACGGGTATAGCAGGACTACAGAGAAGCCCTACTCAGCTCACCTAGGCCAGGTCTAGAGCTGCAGTGGGAAAGGTCCTAGCACCTTCCCCAGGACATAGCAAGTTGAAAGGCTTTGGACTCTTGGTCAGCTGTCACCATCCCATAATCTTTCTCATTACATTTCCGACTGAAAGACAGGTAAGGCAAATGGTCAGTGATGGGTCTGGAGGTACAACTGAGTTTGGAAACAGAAAAAACAAAATCACATTTTAGCTGTCTATGAGGAGATGCGTGTGCATCCAGAACAAGTCCCTAGGCCCCTTACACTGATTTTTTTTTTTTTAAGGCAGATTTATCCACAAGGGAATAAAAAAATCCAAGCCCACATTCATGCCAAAGTTTCCTTGTGGCTAAACCTTTGCCCTTCCATAAAATTATTAAAAGCAAAGTAGTTACAGTCCTATGTATATACTGTACATTATATACACACATATGTATAGATAAAAAACTTTAAAACCTATACCCAGACAAAGGGGCCAGCGGAGGGGTCTGAACAGTCGTGCTACACAAACCAGCAAAGGGGCGGAGCAGGGCCTGTCCCAGGGCGGCTGGCTGTCACAGTCCAGGCATGATGTAGGCAATGTTGTCTAGTGTGTTCGACTATAAAAAAGAGAGTGTTCAGGTGAGAGCTTTAGTGTGGGTCCTCATGAGCAGTGAATGGAGTCGCTGTTACGCTAGGAGTTTTCCGTGCACCTCTCCATGAATCCCAGGGACATTGGTGGCTCATGCCTGTAATCCTACTCAGGATGCTGAGATCTGAGGACTTCAGTTTGTACCTCTAATTAACCACCAGGTAACTGGAAGTGGAGCTGTGGCTCAAAGCAGTAGAGTGCTAGCTTTGAGCAGAAAATCTCAGGCATAGTGCCCAGGCCTGCAGGTTAAGTCCCACGGCCACCACCAATAACAAAAAAAAGGCAGAGCCCCTGCGCCAGGTCTTTGTATGGAGACAAGCACATGCAAGAAGACAGGAGTTACTGCCGCAAGGGTGCGATGCTCTCCAAGCACCACTGTGGGAAATGACCTGTTTTTAGTTTTACTGAAGCCACAGCATGCAACTAATGATCAAGCACCACATCCTGCAGACATTTCTTTTTTTGGTTGGTCGTGGGGCTTAACTCTGGGCCTGGGTGCTGTCCCTCAACTCTTCAGCTCAAGGCAAGCACTCTACCCACTTGAGCCACAGCGCCACCTTCAGTTTCTGGTGGTTAATTGGAGATAAGAGCCTCATGGAGTTTCTTACCTTGGCTTTGAATGGTGATCCTCAGATCTCAGCCTCCTGAGTAGCTAGGATTATAGACGTGAGCCACCAGTGCCTGGCTAGCCTGCAGACATTTTGAAGGGAGTGTCACATGCCTCTAAGCCCTGGGAGTCTAGACTACTCTCTAGGGGCCTGGCTCTAAACATCTAAGGACAGCAAGGAAAACTCACCAGGACCTGTTTGGGACAGCCATTCAGTTCAGGTAGTTGTGTGGTCAGACATGCCAAGGGACCAAGAGCACAGATAATGGAGTCCAGAAGCACTGACAAACTGCCAGAAACCGCCACCATGCCCTGAAAGGAGAGGAATCACACTCCATGTTCTTTTTATGGTCTGCTTGACCTCCTTAAATGGTGTTGCAAGTCCCCATTCCTTTCTATGCCCTCCCAGTAGCTACTGGTGTCCTGTGACACAGCAACACTCAATAAGTATTCTTTTGTCTTTTTTTTTGCTAGTATTAGGGTTTGAACTCAGGACCTCCTGTTTGCTTGGTATTCTTGTTAGGCTGATTGCTCTATCATTTGAGCCATAACCTCTAGTCCAGCTTTTTTGTGGTTATTTTTAAAATAAGGTCTCCCTCATTTATGTCTGGGCCTGGCTTGGATTGCAATTGTATTATTCACTCTTCCTGCACAACTGTGATGACAGGTGTGTGCCATCAGACTTGGCTTCTTATTGGTTGGTTGAGGTGCAGATGTCTCAAATTTTTTGGCGGGGCTGGTCTCATAGTGCCATCCTCTTGATCTCTGTCTCCTCAGTAGCTAGGAGTACTGTCATGAGCCTACAAGCTCGGTCCCTGTACTGATTTCTTAGTGTAAAAATGGCTGATTTCTTAGCTGAAACATCTTAGAACTACCATGAGAATTAAACTATTATGACCGTGAGTTAGCTAAGGGGCAGCACAGTTCGAAATGGAATAAGGTCACAGAAATGGAATGTGGCAGCTTTGCGGGTTAAGTGATTTTGAAAACGAAGCTTAAAAGGGCACAGATCTCCCTTGGGCAGCTGGTTGTGTCTAATTCAAGTGCATAGTAATGAGGAGTGTGAGCAGCTCAGCTTCTCCGTTTGTTACCTACTTGCAAACCAGGAGACTCCCCTGTACAATCTAGCTAGGCTGCTTATCTAAAACCTGGTAGGGACTACAGTGAACAATTTCCACTCCTTGAGGAGGACCAGAGGTCAGAATGGCAGGGGACTTGCACTCATCTTTCCACTCAGTGTACGTGAAACGAGTCACCGCATCCCAGCCCTATGAGAACCACAGGGATGCTGCTGAGTGCATGGGGCCCACCTCTGTCTCCTGCAGGCGGTGTCCAATCAGGCTCAGGGACTCCCCCAGCAGCTGGAGGTGAGCGGCGACATCAATGGGCTCTGTCTCGGGGGCTTTGGCGGGTGAGGCTGGGAGCAGCATGGTGGTAGGTGGGGACTTCTTTGGAGGTGACAGGACTCCCACAGAGGAAGCTGAGAAGAAGGGGAGGAGGAAAGTCTGCTAACAGCCTTGAACATCACAAAACATTATTCCTGGTTTCCCCTTTTCATGAACTATACCACTATAGCATGTGGGCTAAATGTAGCTCACCACCTCTTTTCCTGTGAACCCAAAATAGTTTTACATTTTTAAAGGGTTGTGGAACAAAACAATGTATCATGGTACCAATAACGCATATGGCATACAAAAGTCATACTTAACTTTTTCTTTATATAATTTGCAGTATTAAGGACTGAACTCAGGACTTTGCGCTTGCTAGGCAGGTGCTCTATACTTGAGTCTTACCTCCAATCATTTTATCCTTTTTGTTTTTTTGGTGTGGGTGTCGGGGCTTGATCTCTGGGCCTGGGTGCTGATCTTTAGCTTTCTAACTCAAAGCTATATTGTACCACTTGAGCCAGTGCTCTACTTCTGGCTTTTTGCTGGTTAATTGGAGAAAAAGAATGTCAAGGATGTTTCTGCCTGCACTGGCTTTGATCCATGAGCTTCAGATCCCAGTCTCTTGAGTAGCTAGGGTTATAGGAGTGAGCCACCTGCACCCAGCTCTCCATTATTTGAGGGAAGGTCTCATTTTATACACACGATGCAGAATTCCTACTTGTGCTTCCCCATGTCACTAGGGACAAGACACACCTGCCACTTTGCTCAACCACGTGCTTACTGATAGCTAGGCACACGTGCCACACCGAGCCATTGTTGAGACCTGTTTACTTTTATGCCTGAGTGGGCCTCAAGTTGCAATCCCCTATCTCAGCCTCCTGAACAGCCAGGAATAAATTGCAATCCCCTATCTCAGCCTCCTGAACAGCCAGGATTACAGGCACGAGCTGCTGTGCCCAGCTACTTCTAAATTTTCATGAGAAATGTTAGATGATCTCCGAATCAATTTTCTATATTAGAATCTTTTTTTTATTTTGCAGCCTGTATTCAGTAATAAAACCTAGGTATTAAGGCGTGCTTCAAATTTGAGCTGTCTTCCAATTTTTTAGAAAGAATGGAGGACAAAGGGTGAACAAATGCAGCAGCGGTCCTCACTAGATGCTATATTGAAAATGAACTATGAAATTTGTGGGTGTAGATGGAAGGGAAAAACTGGGAGAGAGCAAAGGAAGGGGTGACACTGTCCAAAAAGAAATGTACTTATTACCTGCCTTACTGTAACCTCTCTGTACATTACCTTTACAATAACTTAAAAAAAAAAAGTCAAGAGCAGGGAAGTGGCTGCTACCTCTGACTTTCACGCAGCCTTCCGGGCCCGATGCTTTTCTCTTCACAGTTGTAGCCTCGGCTTTGTTCTGTTTGTGCTGCAGGTACTGGGCCTTTTGCTTCCAAATCTGTAATCAGATCAGTGTACAATAATTTGGAATAAATTAAGAAATACAAAACAAAAAGGAAAGAAATTACAGAAGAGTAAAAAGCAGAAAGGGCACAGTGGAAGGAGGGAGGGAAGGTCAGCACTAGCTTTTAGGTTGAGGTCACTGAATTGGCTATGGACAGCTGACACCTGCTTTGTTGACTTGTGTTTCTGGGCCTCCTGATCACTATCTGAGATACAGTGCAGGCCTTTTGTTTTGATTTTGTTCCTGAAACAAAGCCTGCTGTTACTTGCTTTTCCTGGGCTGGCCTAGACTCATAATCCTCCTGCCTTTGTAAGTGGGTGACAGGTGTGACTCACCACTGCCATAAGTAAGATCACTGTAAGGCTGAGAAGCTGGGATTACAGGTGTGCCCTACTGTGCTGGGGCTGTTAAACTGCCATCCCAAGTTAGATCACAGTAAGGTTGAAACATAAAACTACAGAGCAAACATCTGGATCAATGGAATGTCCATGTGGTTTCAGCCTTTTCTTAAACCTGCTGGCTGGCTGGCAACACCAGTAGCAGGGGTAAGAATGACACATAAACAGCAACGAGAGGTGACCTGCCTTCCTGAACCACTTCCTATCCCCCAGTAGAAAGAGGGCTGTGCACATTCAGGTGTGACTATTCTTGTCTTACTAGCTACTTGATAGCAGTGTACATGATTACTGCCAGTGAGGATGGCCACCTGCAGCCTGTCATGGGTATTACCATGTTTTTATTCTTTTTTGGTGGTACTGGTCAGTGCAGGTCCCTGAGCTTGCTATAGGCAAGCTCTCTATCACTCGAGCCCTATCTCCATTCCTTTTTGCTTTGTTTTTCAGATATTTATGCTTTTTGCCTGGGCTAGCCTCAGACCACAATCCTCCTGTGTAGCTGAGTTACAGAAGTGCCTAACTACACTCAGCTTGTCCTTTGAGATAAAGTCTAGCGTTTTTTTTGGTGCCTGAATTAGTCTCAAACTTAACGATCCTTCTGTCTCTAGCTGAACCAAAATTTATTGGCTGAAGCATGATGCTCAGTTTTCAGATCACAGCTGACTACTGTTTGTAGTAGAGCTCTGACTAGATTTTCTTTTAACATTTAAATCTCTGTCCAGGTTTGGTATTTTTTTGGGGGGCTCAATTAAAAAAAATTTTAGAAAAGATACCATATTTATAGGTGCGCCTTTGCCATGAGCCATTCAACGCTGACAGCATTACTGCCCTCTGGGAAAGCATCTCCCACTGCTTTGTACTTTCTTTGCACTAGTCTACTGCTGTCTGGCTGATTATCTACAGAGGACTGACACGTTTTAGAAGGCAGAGAGCAATGGGAAACATGTCTGAATGATACTTACCAGCTTGTCCTTTTCTGGCAACTGCTTCCACACCTCAGCCAGCTTTTTACTAAGTTCCCCAAAATCTGACAAAAAAAAGGAATAATAATAAAATAGGATTACATTTAAGAAAACAGATGGGAGCAAACACTGCAAAGTGTTTTGAAGATCAGACTGAAGTATCACATGGCTTTCAGAAACCCAGAGCAGACACACCCCTCCCGTTTCTCCTGTGTCTTGGGTGGGGAAGGGGGGGGGGGTGGTCTGGTGAGCACAGGTGAGGCTCAGATCCACACACACACCTACTCTCCAGGGAGCTCCACAGCCTCCTCCTTGTTTCTTTATGTTTGTCCTCATAGTACAAGTTAGGTCGAAGACCACATGTGACACAGAATTTGATAAAAGAAGTTAGCTGCCTCCCCTGTCCCATTTCTGAGAGATCCCAACTGAAGAATGACTTCCTTATGGCAGCCCGGAAGCAACTGTCCAATGGGTACATATTCTTCCATCTGTGTGACCATTCTATGCTCTGTCAGGTACATTCCGGGAACCTCACAGCACAGTAGAGGGGCAGCTGTCTTAGGCTTTAGTTCAGTGAGATGTGTATGGCTAAATGGGCTAAACGTCCTGTGCAAAGTGTGTGAAACACTTTCTTCTCATTTCACCAACTTGATAAATACTTTAACAATATAACATTTTGTTATGCCTTTACTCAAGGGTAGGTGTGTGTGTGTGTGTTTAGTTTTTACATTAACTTTATTTTTAGAGGCAATCTGCATGAGTTAACAAACCCCCATCATTGCCAGCTATTGTAGGAATCATACTCTTTCTTACACATACCAAAAGCTGATACTTAGCAATGAATTCTGGGGGTTGCAAAAGAAGATTTACTGTTTGCACTTGTCTGTAAGGCTTTGTTACAAATTAAACATACACATAAGTGCCATCCAAGTCAGTTTAAAAAATAAAGGTCAACTATAGAATGTTGGAAATAAACTACATATTCATGTGTGTTTAATCTGTGTGCTTCCCCTCCTTACTTGGAGACAGAGATCTCAATATGTAGCCTAGGCTGGCTTCAAACTCCTGATCTTCCTGCCTTTGTCTTCTGAGTACAAGGATTACAAGCGTGTGCCAACATGCCTGACTCCTAAGAATGGTTTATAAGCATTTAATTTTATAGTTTTCTCCCTTTTATCAGTTTAAGAGATGTGTATAGAAAGGTCAACTCTTTTACTGGTGGGGTAAACTAAGGGAAAATCTAAAAGGATTTGTAGCCTGAGTAAAGAAATGATATTTGTCTAAGACTACGGGAAGAAGTTGCCAGCTGGCTGAATTAACCCAATTACGTTGTTTCAGAAATACAGTGGGAAGTTAAAAACAAAAACAAAAATCCTAAACGACAACGACAACAACAACAACAACAAAAACCAAACCCAAACCCCTAAGGAGCAGAAAGAGTCTTACCTATGCCAGGATGGTCAGCCACAATGGTCACGCGATACTCTTTACAGAACACCTGGTAGGCAGACATGTTCTTCTTTTTTGGCTAGGGCCACATAGAAAACAGAATAGGACATCAGAGGACGAGAACCCAAGCGCAGGACCTCCGACTCCATGGTAACAGAACACAAACTTCAGCCATGGTCTTGCATTTAAAGGAGAGTTCCCTATACTAGTCAGCTTTCCATGCTACTTACCAGTCAGAGATGAACAAAAACCAATGCTCAGTTCCCCTGCAAACCCAGCCACTCTTCCTACATCCCATCCCATGCTATGTTCTTCCTTTAGAACATCTTTACCCCCACACTATGTGGATTATCTAGTTTGCTCATCCTTGAAAACCAGGACCCTCAAATTTTCCTTCTCTATTTGGGCCAGAAATTCAACAGCCAAATCCATACTCTTTTTTTGTTTCTCTGGTTTTGATTTCAAATCTTACAGGACTCTGCTTTTCTGTCCCTTGCTATTTATCACATCACATTCTGGTGGCTCAGGGTGAGAAGTAAATAAATAACTGAACACTGCTTTCTATGAAAGCAGGTCTGTCCTCCATGGTGTTAGGTCAATACAAAAAGCAACTGTAATTTGTTTCCATTTTATTTAAACATTATCTTTCAGTAGCTATACAAAGGGGTTTCGATTTAACAAATCAATTTACAAGTACAATATATCTTGTTACCAACATGTGGTTTTTGTGTGTGTGTGTCAGTCCTGGGGCTTGAACTCAGAGCCTGGGCAGGGTCCTTAAGCTTCTTTTGCTCAAGGCTATCACTCTACCACTTGAGCTACAGCGCTACTTCTGGCTTTTTGGTAGCTTAATGAAGAAAGAGTCTTACAGACTTTCCTGCTCAGACTGGCTTTGAATTGCAATCTTCACATCTCAGCCTTCTCAGTAAGTAGGATTACAGGCACGAGCCACCAGCACCCAGCAAATTCTTATCTCCAATTAAAGCTGGAAGTGGAACTCTGACTCAAGTGGTAAGCACCAGTCTTGGGGAAAAGCTAAAAACATAAGGCTTGAAGTACAAACAAAAAAAGATGATCACTTTCTAACGTTAATCTCATAAACTAAGATGTTTTCTGTATGGTTTTCCTAAAGAAAGAAAATTAGAAACCATGCTTTCCTCATTTGCAATAATCAAAACGATGATTTATTCCCTACCTCCTCCTAAGACAGCTCTTCTCATCCTGCAGTTACTATAATGACACAAGTGAGTCATGCTTTAAAAAGCTACTGGGAACTACTGTTTGCCTTAACGTTTTTTTTTTTTTTTTTCTGGGTCGATCGTGGGCCTCAACTCTGGGCCTGAGTGCTGTCCCTCAGCTCTTCAGCTCAAGGCTAGCACTATTCCACTTGCGCCACTTCCGGCTTTTTCTGCCTATGTCGTGCTGAGGAATTGAACCCAGGCCTCATGCATGCAAGGCCAGCACTCTACCACTGAGCCACCTTCCCCAGCCCCTTGAGTCAAGTTTTATGAGCAAAACCTAACAGAGATCACAATCCCGGTACCTAACACCAGAAGCACATCTTGTTTTGAACGAGAGTTGCTTTACTTGCTGCCTTAGTTCTTACACACTGTTCTCTGTGGTAAGTATCCCCACAAACCTAAGACAGCATGAAAGCGAGCTGGTCAGTAGCTCTGACGTCAATTCCAGACGGAACTCTGAACTCCATGGAGGAATGGAAACATCCCTAGAGCACCTTCCAAGTATCTACACTGGATGACATGGTACTCACTTGGAAAACGGTGTCATGCTTGCTAAAAACTTAGTTTTTTAAAAGATTTTTTTCTTCCTTTCCCTCCCTTCCTTCTCTCCTTCCTTCCTTCTTTCCTTCCTTTTTTAACTGGACCTGGGACTTGAAGTCTGGGCCTGGTGCTGTTCCTGAGCTTCCTTTGCTTAAGGCTAGTAGCTCTACCATAGCTCCACTTCTGGCTTTTTGTGGTTACTTGCAGATAAGAGTTTCTTGGACTTTCCTGCCTGGGCTAGCATCAAATTGTGATCCTGAGATCTTAGCCTCTTGAACAGCTAGGATTATAGGTGTGAGCCACTAGCACCTGGCTAAAATTTTAGTTTTAATTGGGTAAGGGCAGACGTATTACTCAGTTTCCTCGTTAGTTTGGGGGACATAAAGTTTAATGAAAGAGTAAAATGCATAAAAGAATTAGTTTCAGGGGCTGGGAAGGTGGCTCAGTGGTAGAGCGCTTGCCTTGCATGCTCGAGGCCCTGGGTTCGATTCCTCAGCACCACATAAGTAAAAAGAAAAAAGCCGGAAGTGGCGCTGTGGCTCAAGTGGTAGAGCACTAGCCTTGAGCTGAAGAGCTGAGGGACAACGCCTAGGCCCAGAGTTCAGGCCCCACCACCGGACCCCCCCAAAAAAAAGAAAAAAAAAAAGAATTAGTTTCAAAGGCTGGGCTTTGGTGGCTCACACCTGTAATCCTAGCTACTCAGGAGGTTGAGATCTGAGGACTGGGGTTCAAAGCCAGCCCAGGCAGGAAAGCCCATGAAACTCTTATTTCTTAACAGACCACTAGAAAACCAGAAGTGGTGCTGTGGCTCAAGTGGTAGAGTGCTTAGCCTTGAGCTGAAGTGCTGAGGACAGTGCAGAGGCCCAGAGTTCAAGCCCCACGACCAACAGAAAAAAAAAAATTAGTTTCAAAATCTTAGTTTTTGAAAAATGGCTTGTCTATGTGCCTTGCAAAAAACTTTTTAACAAAAATCTTTACTCCTGAGCTGTAGGATTAATCTAGTTAACTATTACTTAATTAACCAGTCAATATTGACTAGTGAGAAACATAGAATATGTGCATGAAAGATTTCATAATTCATTTGGCTATATTATAAAACTTGCAAGTTGGGTGCGAGGTGGCTCACGCCTGTAATCCTTGTTCTTCAGGAGGCTGAGACTTGGGGATTGAGGTTTCCAGCCTGGGCAGGAAAGTTCCTGAGACTGTAATCTCCAATTAACCAGCCAAAAACTAGAAGTTGAGGTGTGTCTCAAGTGGTAGAGCACCAGCCTTGAGTAAAAAAGCGAAGTGCTTAGGCCATGTGAATTCAAGTCCTAGTATACACACCCAGACACCCAGACACACCCCCAAAACAAGGAAATTTGCAAAGAAGCATTTTAACAATGTTTTTTAAAATATAATACTGTATATGTTTAACCTCTCTATCCCTAGACCACTTTAACTATAACAAAGTAAGACTAAGTTTAAAACAATTAATCAGAGTTGGGGACAGTGGTTCACATTTGCAATTCTAGCTATCTGGGAAACAGAAATTCGGAGATCACTGTTTGAGGTCAGCCCAGGGAAAGTGTTCCTGAGATTCCACCTCAACCAACAGGTGTGGTGCCATGTGCTTGTCATGCCAGATATGTGGGAAATCTAAATAGGAGGATTATAGTCCATCAGCCCATAAACTCAAGACCTTTTATAAAATATAACCAGAGCAAAAAGCACTGGCTGGAGTGCCTGCTCAGCAAGCGCAAGGTCCTAGGTACTACCAAAAGGCTAGTAATAATAATCACAATATTTAACCAACATATTGGATGTAATTTTGCATGCGGTAATAAAGAAGCCTTTCTCATACCACTTACTAAGGGGCTTTATTCAATTACATAGAAGATGAATTTACTGAATAAGTTCTGAGTGGTAGTAGAGCAACTGAGTAAATTGTGAAAGCCCCACAAAATTTAAAGTTCAAAACCTTTTGACATTGTCTTGGCTACACCATACACCACATATTTGATCCTGAATGAAACATATGAGAAGTGACAGCTTTTCTGATTAGTGACAATGGAAGCATTTCAATGACAAAGAAGGAAAAGTAAGCCGGGTGCCGGTGGCTCACACCTGTAATCCTAGCTACTCAGGAGTCTGATTTCTGAGGACTGCGGTTCAAAGCCAGCCAGGGCAGGAAAGTGAGTGAGACTCTTATCTCTTATCTCCAATTAACCACTAGTTCCAAGTGGAACTCTCAGAGTGGTTACCTGAGCTGAAGAGCTCAGGGACAGCACTCAGGCCCTGAGTTCAAACCCTACAACAGATGAGGAGGAAGGAGGAGGAAGGAGGAGGAAGGAGGAGGAAGGAGGAAGGAGAAAGGAACCCAAAAGGAAGGAAAAGTTTCAAAAGTAACAGAAAAAGTAACTTATTACTGAACTGAGCAGTTCTTTGGGAGGCTGAGTCAGGAGGATTGTTAATTTGAAGACAACCTGGGCTACATAATGAGATGCTGCCTTAAAAAAACAACAACACACAATTAAAAGAGCAAAGAAGCAAAAAACAGTCCTCCGCCATTCATCTATTAATGTACTACAGACATCCAGACTATAGCCAAGAGTGAAGCATATAATCTAACAGATAAGACAGATAATGATGTCTGTGTAATGAAACACCTTGCTATTTCAGGGAAAGTCCTGGGTGCTACGGGAACATGAAATAGGAATGCTACACCAAATCAGAGAGTCAGAGGAAGAAGTGACTTCAGGAGAGGTGACTTTAATTTAATCTAGACCTGAAAGCTGGGTAGAATTAGACAGATGAAATAATTATGAGTGTCCTGGGCAGAGAGAACATGTGGTACACTCATCAAAAGACAGTAAGAAATGGGATAAGAGGATGTCCAAAGCTGAGTGTGTGTGTGTGTGTGTGTGTGTGTGTGAAGAGCATGACTCTAGGCCGAAGAAGCAGTTCCAGTACACTCATCAAAAGACAGTAAGAAATGGGATAAGAGGATGTCCAAAGCTGAGTGTGTGTGTGTGTGTGTGTGTGTGTGTGTGAAGAGCATGACTCTAGGCCGAAGAAGCAGTTCCAGTACACTCATCAAAAGACAGTAAGAAATGGGATAAGAGGATGTCCAAAGCTGGGTGTGTGTGTGTGTGTGTGTGTGTGTGTGTGTGTGTGTGTGTGTGTGTGTGTGTGTGTGTGTGTGTGTGTGTGTGTGTGTGTGTGTGTGTGTGTGTGTGTGTGTGTGTGTGTGTGTGTGTGTGTGTGTGTGTGTGTGTGTGTGTGTGTGAGAAGAGCATGACTCTAGGCCGAAGAAGCA